GTGTTGGTGCGAACCGCACGACGGCGATGAGGTGTGGTGAGGTGCTAGGGTTCCGGGCTCCTCCTTTTATAGGCGAAGCTCCATGCTCATCCATGGTGGATGGCGGGCGGTTTGGTGATGCTGGCGCATCGGATGGCTCTCGCGTGCCGGGGCGGTTGCGTGGGCGCGGCGCTAAGGTGGGGAACAGGGTCATGCGATGTGCGTGACCCCGGGCCCGTGTCTGCTCCGCGGTCGGCTCCCGGTCGCGTGGTAGAGGGAGCGTGGGGAAGACGACGACGCTGTAGCTAGGCGGCTGACAGAGGGGGCCCGTTTATCAGCTTGTCCTAATGCGGCGGCGTGCGGTACGTGACGGCTGACGGGCGGGTCCGTCTCGTCGGTGGCTTGTCTTTGTGTGTGGCGGTAGGGGTGTTGGGCCAAGCTTGGGCAGCGTCTTGCGAGTGGGAGGGGGGCGGGCTCGGCCGGGTGGGCTGGCTCGCAAAAGAAAGCGAGCATAAGGCTGTCATGGCTCCCTCCTTTTCCTTTTTTTCTGTGCGTTTCTCTTTTCTTTCTTTTGCTTCGATTCAAATTTAGTTAGAGTTTAAACTTGGGCTTCGAGTCATGTAGTGGGTCCCACAAGGTGTTTCAATTGGTGGTCAAAATACATCCCATATATTAGAGATTATTGGCTATTTTTGTTATACAAAAATAGTTGAAGTTTTTATATCGGGGTGTTTTATTCTTCCAATAAATAATTAATTATTTAGGGTTTATCATAAATATTGAGTAAGTTAGTTAAACATCACATAAGGCAAAAGAATTCAAATCACAAGTGGAATTAAGGATGCATGCATGATTATATATGTGGCATAAAACCAGACTATGCTTATGATTTTAAGCTAGTTGGGTCACATTTAATCCAAAACTAGGGTTTGGCTTCTACATGTGTCACTCAACATCACAAAGAGTTTAAACAAAAAATTTATAGTTGTAATTTTTTGATATGTAGATTTTTGGATTGTTACACCAGCAGCGTGCGGCCCATTAGAAATGGTGCCCAAATAGTCACAAAAATCGCCAAAAAAAGCGAGCTCGAGGGGACTCGAACCTGTGCCGCTAATATGTTTGGAAAACAGCCACAACCACTGAAAAACGACGTCATCTATGATAGGTGGTGTACTATTACCTTTAATATGTGTTGTTTGTTGTAATTGAATCAAAGTCAAACGAAAATATGAACCGTGGGGATTAGAACCAGGGAGCGATCATTCAAGAAGCGGCAGCCATAACCACTGAGTTACAACAACGCTTGTGTTACGTGCCATAGTTTTTTCTTATATAAAATACTGCTATTATTGGTGTACTTCATTAAAAAAAAAAGAGCCCACGGGAACCGAGCATGTGTATATTAATTTAATTTAATCTATATAAATTTGAGGCGAGTCACGTCGTAGTTACTGTTCATCGGCCGCGCCCGTGGTCTCAGATCCCACTGAACAGTATCCGACCCGATAAGGAACAGTACCACCTTTTTTTCCCTCACAGCATCCACTGTTGCCCGCGCGAAGCGCGGGTTTACTTGCTAGTATTTTATATATGAGTTGCTTCTTGATCGAATTTTTGCTTGTCAAACTTAGAAGTATTTTAGGAAACTACCGATGATGAACGATAAACACTGCTAAAAAAACATTTGTAGCAATGTCTCCCTTTTTGAGCCGTCCCTCTACAAATAGTGTCCAAACGAGTCGTCCTTATAAATCCATTTGTAGGAGCTGATGATGTTATCAGCCACGCCTACAAATGGCTCGATTTGTAGGAACGACTCTATATCCAGCCGCCCCTATAAATAGACGCCGAATAGTAAAAATGAAGAACTAAAATTTGAATTTTTTCAAACGATTTCAGATGGTGAAATGACAAAAAATAAAAGTTGTAGACCTCGAAAAGTTATGAAACTTTGTTGTTTATAACTTTTTTATTTGAAATCATTTAGTACTTCGAAATATTGTTTGAAATTCAATTTCAAAATTATCGAAAAACTCTGATTTCTCTTTTTAATCTCTGGCTAAAACTTGTAACTAGTTTTTCTCCCTCGTACTAACTTCAAATTTGATGATTTTTTCCCTAAAGTTTTCTAAAATTATGCTCTATCAACTTATTGTATTTTTATGGCTATTATTTTAATCATCTTTTTTCATGTGACTGTTTTATCTATTTGAATTTTGAATTTAAAAAAATGACAACTTCAAATGTTACTTTGAAACATTAAATGATTTAGGCTAAAAAAGTCATGAACATAAAAATTGTAAAACTCATAAAGATCTACAACTTTTATTTTGGTCGTATTCTTCATTCGATAAAGTGGTAGTAACACTGTTCACAAATTTTACATAGTTTATGAAACTACAAGAGAGATATGTAAATTTTATGAACAATATTAATACCATTACGTCGAATGAATAAATGACCAAAATAAAAGTTGTAGATCTCGAAAAGTTATAAAACTCTGTAGTTCATAATTTTTTTATTTGAAATAATCTTGTCTAGGAAAACTATGTTTGGATTTCTTAAATTTGAAATTTGAAATTTGAATTTTTCAAACGACCTCGGATGGAGAAACAACTAAAATAAAAGTTGTAGATCCCAAATATTTATGAAACTTTGTAGTTGATAACTTTTTGATTTGAAATCATCTTGTTAGAAAAAAAAACTATGTTTCAATTTCAACAAAATTTAAATTTTATTTTTTTAAACGACCTCGAATAGCAAAAACGAAAGTTGCGTATGTCAAGAAGTTGACAGCTTTTTCACTCGTTCGCAGTACTTCTGTGACCGTCTGCGGTTCGTGTTGCTCTCTCAGCCAGTGAAAACCGGTGCTCACTGCTTCTCTCGAACCCTAACCTCTTTCTTCCCCTTTCCTCTCCTTTCTCGGGCTTTTTACATATTTACCATTATTACGATCGCCACTTACAGGAATCACACTCTTAGAATGACGCTTACAAATTTAGCCGTTTTAGTTCGCGCTCCTTTCATTTTTACCACTTTCGCCTATGTGGCACGCCAGCTCATGCTGGCACCGGCACGGGAAATGACCCCGTTGCCCCCGATCATCTTTCAATTAGACGCGCCGTTGCCCTCTCCCTTTTCCCCCTTTCCATTTTGTTCGCCGCCGCCTCCTTCCTCTGCCCGCCCGCTGCCCCTATCTTGCTCGTCTCCACCGCCACGGCCACCATGGACGACAACCATGTTAAGGTTGGGAGGAAGAAGGCCAAGACATCTGGTGGTGACGAAGCACTAACTTCAAGAACAAGAGCAGCATTGGCAAGAGAAGCATCAGCAAAAGCTAAGAGGGAGGCCCTGAAAGCACAAATGAAGGCAGAAGCAGCAAGGGAACTAGCAGAAGCAGCAGCAAGGGAGGAAATGGAAGCTACAAGAAATAAATTTGAAGCAGCAAGGGAAGAAGAAGGAGGCCTGGAACTAATGGCTTTGGAAGCTGTTCTACTAGAAACACCAATTAGAAGGTACTCATTCCATCTTCTTTAAGATGGTTAATTGAAACTATGCTGGTAACTAAATATGTTTTTTCCTATAATAGGACACTGTTTACATAAGATGAAGTCTAACCTGAGCCTGTGAAAAAAATTACACCAAGAAAAAGCAGTTAGCAACTAAAGTGAAGAAAACTCCACCACCTAAGAAGAATGGTGAGAAGGACAAGGGGAAGGGCAAGGCCAAGGCCAAGTGACCATGGATGGTCTTTTATGCAATGATCTGGAACTTTTGTGTTCAATGGCATGTAATTTATGTTATGTACATAAATGGGCACAGAAACAGTAAGCATGGTGCCCTTATTTTGGTAGTGAAGAACATCTCAGTTATGTAATGGCAAACCAGTCCCTATTTGAATGTCAAGAACATCTTATTTATGTAATGTAATGGCAAACAGTTAGCCCCTATTTCAATGTCAGCTTGCAGTTGCTCTTTTTCATTACAAGTTGGTTTATGCTTGCTCATTCACTTTGAAAACAACTCCAGCTGCTCATTCATTTGAAAGCGAGAATGCACAATTCCAACCGCCCATTCATTCAAGCATCTTGGACAACCAATTTCATTGAAATAAAAGGGTTCATTGTCATACAAAGTCACTACATCAGGTCATCATAGATTTGAAAACTACTCCAAACACAACAACCACAAGACAAACAATGACATAGTTCATTTTTGACATCATCTTCTCAAGCTTCTTCTCCAGTGCCTCAGTCTTCAGGTCCTTCAAGCCCTCCACCCCCAGATGGGCGCCTTCACTGTGCTCTTCTCCTCCCTCCTCCACCAATTCCTCAATCTCCTCGCAGCAGATCCTGATCGACCAATTCATCGAAATAAGCCTTCTAGAACCTATAGAAGCTACAGAGCTGCGGATTGTGCAAAAAAAAAGAAATAAATAAGACAAGCTAGGGCTAGAATGAAGGAAAAAGGAAAATCACCAAAACTCACCCCGTTTCTAGGGCATTTGAAGAAGTTGCGGCCCTTGTTTCGAGTGTCCTGCACCACGCGAAGCTCAATCACACGAGCGAGCTTGCAATCGGGGCAGACAATCAAGGGGAGCCCTGTTTCCGCACCAACCGGATAGGCGACAAACCTAGCGACCGCAGAACTCAGCCTCCTCGCCAGCCTACTCGAGCTGGATGACTCCGCCCTATGCGACATGGTTGCCGTCCGTGGTGGCCGTGGCGGTGGAGACGAGCAGGATGGGGGCGACGGGCGGGCAGAGCAAGGAGGCGGCGGCGAACGAAATGGGGAGGGGAAAAGGGAGAGGGCAACGGCGTGTCTAATTGAAAGATGGCCGGAGGCAGCAGGGTCATTTCCTCAGCACGAGCTGGCGTGCCACGTAGGCGAAAGTGGTAAAAATGAAAGGAGCGTGAACTAAAATGGCTACATTTGTAAGCGTCATTCTAAGAGTGCGATTCCTGTAGGTGGCGATCGTAATAATGGTAAATATGTAAAACCCCAAACACACGCCCCGCATGGCGAGAGGAGGAGTCTGCGGCGCCGCGGACTTTCACGACGGCGAGCTTGCCATCCATGACAGTGAGCTCGCCGCGTCGCACAATCACAGCGAGGCCGCGGCAGCGCTGGTCCGGCTGGGAGGCGGCGGCGGCGCTGTAGATCCGGTCCACTACACGGTAGATCAGGCCGGCGCTGATGCAGACCCCTTTGGCGAAAATCACAAGGTACCTAATCATTTGTTTTCTTGCTTCAGCATCGTTTTCAGTTCTTGCAGATCCTTAATCCTGTATGATAACACATGTACGTGGGTAGGATGAGGGACGAACGCAAGCATTTGTACATGGTGGGTGTTGTTGCTTCTAGAAACCAGGAGGCGTCGGAACTGCAGTAGTGATCATGGATGGTCAAGGACAAGGTGCCGCAAAAAAATAGTTTTCTTGCTTTCGGTGCCTTGTTTTCAGAGGTTAGGTTATGTAGAAACCAGAATCATTGCTTTGGTTTCAGTAGGCATCACCCAAATTCAGCTACTTGTTTCAGAGATTACTGATTAGGTTCTATAGAAATTAGACTCCATTGTTGCTTTATCTCCAGAAATTGATGCATTCTTTTTTTTTCAGGCTGAGCAGCAGCCAGCAAAACATCGTAGGAAACATTCGTGCAACACAGCAGGGCATTAGAGCACAACAGATTCCCTTCTATGAGGTGCAACCAGGCAGCAAAATTAGTAAGTAGAGAACACTGCGACAGGTAGTCTATAAAAGGAAGTATTAGGAACCCCCTGAAGCTTACATGCCTGCAATATGTAATAGCCCATGATCTATATGCTGTTAGTATGCCTGCAATATGTAATAGCCCAGGTTTATGTCAAATGATCATTTTTTCTGCTCCAATGATGAGTGATTGTCTTGAATAGCTGTTTTCAGTAAACTTATTGTAAGAGTAGCTGCAGAAATGTTCTGACAATGTTTTCAGTAAACTTGTTGTAAGAGTAGCTGCAGAAATAAACTTACATCTAATTTATTTATTTTTGTGGTTTGCACATTCAGTTTTCTCATGTTTTTACATTCAGTACCTAGCAAAAGTGTGACTGGCTTTGTGTATATACCAAGTTGCATTATTCAAGTATTTTACTGATAAACTGGATATGGCTTTGTGCTGCAGCAAAGAAAATAAAAGAAAATGTGTATATACCCTGTTGCATTATTCAAGTACTTTACTGGAGTAATAAACTGGATACTGCTTTGTGCTGCTGCAAAGAAAATAAAAGAAATGACCTTTTCTTATTGCTGTATCATGTCCTATAATTAATACACTGTTAAGAGTGGACAATAAAAATAGAAAAGTATACCTGGTTATTTTCTCCATATCTCTATAAAAAGACTTTCGAGGACAATGAAAAATCTTCTTCTACTAGTGCAGGTCCTTAAGAGTTAAGAGTGGACATTTACTACTTTGTCTAAAGGTATGCTTCCTGGAAATATGTATGATATTGCATAAATTCTGTGTTATCCTCCCTCCTTTAATTATGCCATGGTGACTGATAGTGATATAGCTTTTGATGGTATTTTTGGGGTTGCGTAGGTTCTGAAACTTAAGGCCGTGTCTGGTATGAACTTTGCTGGACCACACCACAGAAGAGGTCCAGGGACGGGACTGAACAGGAGCTAGCTATTTCAGGACGCAGACAGGCATCACAGTGATTCGGTGAGTCATTCAGAAACAGCTTTTCACCAGCTGGCCGGTTCCTAGTCCGTTCACTCATTGTCTGTTTCTCAATTCATCAGTGATATTGCAGAAAATCCAAAAAGCTTCATTACGAACAGCTGGATGTGCAGGTTCGTGTGCTAAAAAAGATGGAAGATTGCTACAGTTGTTTCAATATAGGAAGAGCTGTTAATAGAATATGTCATCTATTTACATTACTCGGGATATGGACAATGATGTATTTGAACCATTTGATTTAACATTTGTTTGAACCATCTCTTGTATGGGTTTTGTATATTTTATAAAATGCAAATTATCTGGCGTGTTTAATATTTATATGCTAGGTTGTCAAAATGTTACTGTATGTGGCCTATTGAAATGAAATGGGCTTTCTTCCAATTAAATATGAAAAAAATGCGAATTTTAAAAGTAGTGGGCCAAAAAAAATTGCTAAATTGACGAGCTATAAATGGGCTTGGCTTAAAATAGGCCCATGATTCCCATGAACACGCAGCCCCGCCAAAAAACGGGCCAGGCCAAAAATCAGCATCAATAGTGGGCTTGGCCCATTATATGCCTGCTAGGATGGGGTAAGAAAGAGTGACATAAAATAAATTGTTATAAAACTTTGACACCAAAATCAAAGTCATAGATCTATGACGTGAACATATAAACGACACAAAACATGGTTTAAGGCGCATGGTTTTTGACGCAAGCTTTTTTGTCAATCTGGTGTCATAAATGTCAACCTATGATATAAATTACAGATATTATGACAACAACAAAATGACATAAACCCTAACATCTCTTGTAGTGACCGGACAAATTTGTAAGGTACATGGTGGACAATCCTCGAAGGTCACAAATAGTTTCCTTGGAGGGCAAATATAATGTGTTTTATGATTGAGAGACCGAAGATGATAGTCCTATGGGCAAGAGGTGATGATGGGACAGCCAAGTTCCCAGTTTCTTAAGTTCATGGGACGAATGAGGTATACAGTCAATCGCGTTCCTTCGATTAACGGTACGCGTACCAAGTGTAACGGGAGCGTGTTCCCAGAACGATGAACATGATTCTAATTAAATTGGTTGATATCATGAATGGATTAATTAGCACAAGTTTTCACTAAAGGTAAAACTTAGAAAGTTGTAAAATAATAATAATAATAAAGATAAAATATATAGCTGAACTCGCCATGCGGCCTCTCCTCTTTGAATTTTGGGTCTTAGATTTCCATCAAGTGACCAGGCGTTCTCGTGGTGTGGATCACGTTTCATCGGTGTTCAGAACGATGTTTCATCATGTTCCCGTTCCACGAATTGGAACAATGTTCCCAGAACGTGGAACGTGCCCACGTTCCCATTCCCAGGCTGGTAAGGATGGGACTAGTTATAACGACATAGGAACATGAGGTTTGGAGGGGGGCTTTGTTCCCTGTGGGATAATGACACGTAGCGCAAGCTCAGTATGCTGGTTTCAATTGAAGAGGTTTACACATTTCTAAACCAGCAAGGGCGTGAATTAACTTGAGTTGTATCTTGCACGGTCAGAATTTTAGACTTCTCCTAGTAATGTGGGCTTCTTCTAGTGTTTTAGCATTCAAAATTTATTATAAACTTTCCCTACCAAAAGTCTTCTAGTGAGGATTCCCATGTACTGTGACTAGTTGTAGTGTTTTATTACTACTTTAAAATACTAGAAGAATTTCACCATTTTGGTAGTGCTTGTAGGTTTTGGAGTATGGTTCGAATTGCATGTAGAAGTTTCAAGATCAATCAAAATTGAAAGGTAGAGGCTACATATATCTATAGTTGCAACTTGAGTAACCTAGTTGCTCTGGTGGTAGGAGCTTATAATCTTTCGCAAAAAAAAGGTGGTAGGAGCTTATAAGGTAGGGTAAGATGTTTGATGTAATAATCAAGCAAAAGCAGGAGTACAATACTAATGTGGAAATTTCTATGTGGCTCAAACAGTCATCATTCTCAATTCAACAATATTGTGTAGTCAACTAGACCTTGATGAATATGTGTCAAATATCATGTATGAGTCCTAATGCATTGCATGGGACTTAGAGTTGGTGTCAGAACTCTTTCAACCGGGCCTCTTCTAATGACAATCTGGTAACTGTGTTGTGGTTTTATATATGGGAGTGCATGCATCCCGCCTGATGACAATTGGATAAGTTGGGCCGGGCGTGGAACTGGATTCCATGCATGGTTTCGGTCAGTTGGTGCCAATGGTGCGGCACGCCAGTACAGGGGCCGGGGTGGATACGCGATACGGCCATACGGGGCACGTCAGCTGGTGCAGTGTAGATGAGGACCACGTCCCCATCTCCTCGCGCGCCAGTGGCGTCTCCGGCGACGCCGACCGCATGAAAGCCAGGGCCTGAGGGGGCGTGGCAGCGCAAAAAAGAAAAAAGAAAAAGAAAAATCCGGGCCGGAGCGGGCAGCTAGCTATTGCTTACACGAACGGACCACGGAGCCGGGCGGCCGGCCGCATCATCTCTCCCCATCGTGGAAATCGCGCGCGGGCGCGGCCGATGGCGTCGCCGTCGGCGCGAGCGACTTTATGCGCCCATCCACACGCAAAAGCACAAGGGTGTGGCGCGGGGCGGCGACAGCGACGCCCGAATGGAATGGAATGGGAATGGGCATCATCCGCGGCCGCGTCCCGCGGACCCTGCCGATCTAATCCATCTAATCCCCGGCCGCTCCAACGCACGGCGCGGACTTGGAACACTGAACAGCGTTGGGTTCGTGGTTTGCTTGCGATTTAGCAGCGTCGACTCTGCAACGAATTTGGGGACTTGGAACACTGAACAGCGTCCCTGTTTTAGAGCAGCAGTGTGCTCTCGATCGTGCTTTTCCGGACATGAGGTGACAACAGCGCGGTTGCGTCCGACGTGCCACGATCATGTGTTTTAAGATAGGTTCTCTTATCGTCTACAGACCAAAGGGGATATATTCGTCACTAGGATTTGGATGCAACCATGTGTCAAAGTTCCTCGAGCCTTCTTCCCTAGATCAGTAGGTCAAGCACAAGTGCACGGCGCTCTCAGAAAAGGAAAAGGGGCCCAATGCCATCATGCGCCCAAGAAGGAACTGCTTTGCATAAAACTTATCCGGTCAGGACTACGTTACAAGTGCGTGTGTCTGTGTGTTTTATCATAGGTTACAAGTGTTTTAAGCGGTTTGTTTGAAACAAAAATGACAGCCAAAGGTTTTTGAGGTCTGTTTAGCATAGCTTCAACTTTAAGATCCTTATAGCATCTGAAGTTTTTTTTTTTGTTTTGAAAACGGGCATCTGAAGTTTGTAGGACTAAATACGCATACTCCTTCCGTTCTGAATACGTGGTATCCAAGCAATTTTAGCATCAAATAAAGAAGTCTAGCAAAAACTAACTTGCACCTCACTAATTATTTAGTTTGATTGTTAACTTTGCTTAATTTTCTAGTAACGCATAGCTTAAAAAGGCATGCATGCATGCACTGATTTCAGCTACCAATTATCAGTCATTTTCCGCAACATGGTGTTTAAAATACATATATACTAATGATGTTTAAAAGACAGGGACATATAAATGGGATTGAGCAAACTAGAATATCTTATAATTTAAAATAGATCTTGAACCTTAAATATATTGTATTTTAGGACGAAGGGATAGGAATAATCATGTATTTTATCTAACATAGAAACATAATTTCTCAATCAAATACCAATGCAGCTCTAGCTCCAATAGAGCTAAGATACGAAGCTAGAGTTTCACCAAACTGGCTAGTTGTGGTCGAGTGGTACAAAGAAGCTAATATTGTAAGAGCATCTTCAACATTCTTTCTTCAATCCACTATTTAAATCATCATTTAGAGAGTTATTTGAATGGAAATCGTTCTTAATCAGTCTGTTCGTTTGGCTGTGGCTTATCGTAAACGATCGTAAATTTTCAGCCATAAACGATAATTTTTCTCTCACAAACCAAACACCAACAAAGATTTCTTCTTGAAAGAATCTAATTAAAGAAAAGCCT